TCAAACAGCCGGGGGGGGGGCTAACCACACCCACCTCAGGTTAGCCCAGTGGAAGCAGAGGGAGGGGTGCTCATGCCCCCCCACTTATAGCTTAACCTACAGTAGGCATGTGCCTGCATTTATGGAATTTCTGTCCAGTTACAAAACTGATTTAGTCTAGCCAGGTTAAACTAACCTGCAAAGACTGAGTCAATTCAGGCTCAGGCTTTTTGAATGTCTGTCCCTAGCCCAGTGGATCAATGCTGATTTATGACAGCTGAGGATCAGGTGCAATAACTATAGCTCAGGGCACAATCTCTGTTAATTACTTTATATATTTTCTGGGTGTTGGTTATAGCTGTATTGGTCTAAGGACATAAGCAGATTAGGTTATTTGGGTAAATGTGATTTTTTTTATTAGAAATAGTTGGAAAAATTGTTCCTTACAAGCTGTCAGGCACAAACATTTTACCAGCTACATTCGGTCACTGGGTCAATATTCCCCTTCCCCTCCATTTGCCTGTCTCACACCTATTGACTCCCATCCCCTCTGATCTTCCCTGCCACACATTTGCATTTTAACAGACCTGCAATGTGCATATTGGCTTAAGTTTCCATTCCACCCAGGACAGTACACAAACACCAGCAGACTCTCCCTATGCCTGAAGAAGGATGTTTGTACCCAAAAGCTCGTAAAGAATAATTTCTCCAACTATTTAGTTGGTCTAATAAAAGAAATCACTTTTATCCAAAGAACCTTGTCTGTCTTTATATATTTTGCACATTGTAACATGCTCGTGATATTACATCAATAATAGAATAATCAGAACTGAAGAAGACATTCAGCAACTTAACTAATGATGCTTTCATTACTTTATCCTTAACCTGTCATATTTTGTGAACTAACATCATACCAACTCATGACCGATTTATTGTTGGATAACTTTAAGATGGTCTCTGATTGAAATTTAAATCAAGCTTTGATTTTAGTGAAGTACTTTACTCAAAATACTTATGTGTTTGCAAAAATTTGGGCATACGTCATTTCTGTGGTATGTTGAGTTTATTTTTATAATGATTTTAATATTTTCCTCAATTAAACCATGAACAGCTGAAGACAGTTAAAATGATTCACAGTAGGAAAGTCTGTAAGAGCGGCTGGGGGAAGGGACAGGTAAAGGTAATTCTGAAATTCCCAGACAGTTACAGACCCCCGGGGTAGCCAGGAAAAGAAAGCTCCAATAGGAATTTATATATTTGAAATAAGTAAAGAAAATTCAGATGAATTAAAACACAAATATAGACACAAAAATCTGCTGCTTCTTTACTCTCTAGCTATGTGGCTTATGCTTCCAAGTCACCTCTGTCACCAATGCTGTGGAAACATGGACTATTCAAAGACTATTGTGTTAACATCATTATGTTTTATGCACCTTTATGGATTTGATAAAGATTACCCATTGAGCCAGGAATTTAATTTAAAAAATATTTCCTGGAGAAACTAAAGGCATCGGCCAATAATTAATGTAAACTGCCAGTGCTGAAACAACGTAAGAAAAATCTTTAGAATTGTCACCCATAGACTGGTTTGACGTAGTTCAAAGGCCTTCACAGATAAAGGACTTGACACTGTATAAAAATAGCCTTGACCTGGAGGAGAGAGTGACTCTTCTACCAACTGACATACATGAGGCTCTTACCAGGCCTTATGCAGGACTTGAAGTACTTTTGTCCTGCCAAGTTCTCTGGGTGGAAGAGGGGTGACCAACTAGTAAACTAGGCAAGCATATAACTTCTTTATGGTTTTAAGAAGGTATGTTTTATGTGAATTGCTTTTGTTCTGAAGAAATAGTACTTTACTTGATGAAAACTGGCTGGCGTGTGAATAACCCTGTCACTGTTCCCTGGAGAATCAAACTACAGGTGTGGAATTGAAGTCAAACCTGCTGAAGGGATTGCAGTGGAGTACTGAGGCTTAAACCTTAAAAGACTCCGATCTGGAGAGAGCAGATCACGGGATTCTGCCCCAAGACCAGTGACAGCTAGAGATGTTATGTCTAAGTGGCAAGCCATTAGGAGCTCAGAGTTGTCTTTAATGAACTATGATACCCTCAGTATCATGTCTATCCTTATTTTCCCACTGTCATTCCCTACCCTGTATTGCCAATTGCTTTTTAATTTAGGGCCTGATTCTGAAAAGTTTTTCCTGAAAACAGTGCTTCCTACATACATGTGTCAAACTGCATTACCTTTTCTAAGCAAGTTCTTCTAGGAATGATGTGCATTACTCCAGTCTCCTCCCAGCTCACCCATCTCTTACCTCACCCTATCCCTCCCTGCATTGGGTCCCTAACATTTTTTCTATGAAGTGTAGAAGAGGCATAAAGCAGATATCATAGAAGAGACTGAGACACTCTTCCTTGTAAGAGGAGGAAGGCTCTGAGGTCTGCAGGCCCCTACTTTGGCAATGGAAACAATATACTGTACAGTATTTTCTTGAATGTAAGATGACCCCCCAATAATTAGATTCTATACCTGGAAAATGTTTAAATTTGTTATAATTTTCCAGGTATAGAGTCTAACTATTGGAGTTTTGCCTTGAATTTGTCCCCCTCCAACTGCTAAAGCAGGGAAAATAAATCTGGGGGGGTCAGGTAGCCCCCTTACCCTCTGCTCCATCAACTTGTTCCCCATCTTCATCCTTACTGTCAGACCCTGCTTTCTATGAGCATATGGAAATAAGGGGCAAATCTGAAAGCGCTGACCTTGAAATAAAAATACCTGTAGTAATCTGCATGTAGGCAAATAATTACAGGTACCCAAAGACTTAGCTTATCTAGAATTAATACATTTTACCTTTTTTGAAATTGCTGCAAGTTTTAGCACAGGTACTCTATAAACACACTTTTAAGCTGCACTTTTGTACCTACTGATATATAATACAAACTGGGTGCATTTACATGTGTGCTTTACTATAGAGTTGATTAATTAGCTCCATAGTAAAGGGTCACAGTCTTCACATTTGCTGGTATTGGGGCACAATAAATTAACTCTGCCATAGGGTAGTACTGTCTGAAACAGTACTATCCTACAGTGGAGTAATTTGTTCTGCTGAAATGCATGTGTAGATGGTGACAGGGGCTGGCTGGGGCATGAAGGTGCTAAAGTGCAGGGGGTGCCTCCTGCCTAGCTCTGTACTTTAGCACCCTCATGCGCCAGCTAGTCCCTCCGCTGCCTGACACCACCACCCAGAGCACAGGGCTGACCCCCTGGGCCCCCTGCCAGCCTGGGACTACTCCACCCTGGGTAGAGGGGTTGCAGTCCCAGGTGCATGTGTAAATGCTGCACCCAGGAGCAGTTTTCTCCAGTGCAAACTGTGTCAGAGTTTATGATGTTATCTTAATGGCATGTGATATTAGTCCAAAGGCAAAAGGTTCAGGACTTATCATATATATAGTTAATTGGACTAGGTCCCAAGAGAGTCAACAGTATTTCAAGCATGGTGACCCCAAAGCTTGTATGTACTCTAGATATTGCCCACAAAGGATCCATGTGCCAATTAGCCCCCACTCATGACTGGAGCTGTGTGTTCTTCTCATAAATCTTGGGATCCTCCCAAACTTTATATGTAGATAAAGTGGTCTGTCTCCACCTCATGGAGGGTGTGGCCACACTAATCATATGTGACAGGCTGAGAGAGGGGCTAACAGAGGGATTCTGGGTGAACTGCTTGGGGCCCTGTTTCTTCACATTGGTGAAGAAACAGGCATCATTGGAAATGAGAAAGAAAGGCACAGCTCAGCTGTGGGAGTGAAGAGGAAGTAAAAATGTATTTAGTGTAGTGGCTTACCATAACTTGAAAAAAGAGTTGATGCAGAGGGAGAACTGTGCTTAATGGACACCATCATACATCTTATTCAGATGGGTTGCAATAAAGTATTCTTGTGGTATGATTTGCCCAATATGGGCTGTGTGCTTTATAGTTATGCTCAGTGTTGGCTGCATTTAATCAGTTCCATAGTTGATTTCCATTACTGAGAACATGCTGTTTTTAGCAGCAGTGTAATGATAGGCAGTGTAACTGATGAGTGACAATGTACATTTATAAATTGTTCTTACAAAAGATTTCCATTTCTAATTCAAATGGCTAATGAGATGAGATTCTGATAAACAACACACCATAGAAATACAATATGTGGCAGTCACATAGCTTTTAAAAAATATGGATAATGATTTGAAAAATTAATATTCAGTTTTCTAGTAGCTTTTAACCAGTTGTCCTTTATATTTCAGTTAATCAGATCTTACTAGTCCTTCTTGTTTTGACTGTCTGTGTCATTCTGTATAATAAAGTTCACAGAGTGCCTTCCACATTAAAGAATGAAACAGGTAAGTGGGTCATGATTCTAGTCTGTTTTTTATACTGAATTCACTATCATTGCATCTGACTGGTGGCTTCTGTTCCTGGTGTAACAAAGTATTTAGGAATTTATAGTTGAATTACATATGCTATTTGAATATAATCTGGGATGCAGAACTTTTAATTTCTAGATCCCTTGATTAGCATAATAGCAAATCAGTCATGGCTAAGAATCTTCATTCTGATTCAGGGTCTGGTCCAACTTTCACAGAGGTCAATGAGTTTTTCTTCCTTTGACATCTGGGGTGGACCATAACCTCAATTTTGTGCAGATGCAAACAGAGAAGTTCACTGGAAATAAATTTTGATGAGAATCTTCCTATTTGAAATAAGCTGAAACCACCAACTCATTTCAAGTAGGTCACCAATCACCAGGTAACAGCCAGTTAGAATCAACCTGACCAGTGACTGGTTTGTCTATAATTTAAGGTTTTGCTGATATTCTAGTATAGTTCATGTGGCAAAACCCCTTAATGTTGACATACTTATACTGGTATAAAAGTCCATATGCTAATGTAATGTCTTACATCTTGGGGAGAGAGATAAAGATAAATTGGTATAAATAAATGTTATTTCAATAGCATCTATACCAGGACTTTTACTGTTATAAGTAAGTTGCTAAAATTAACATCCCTGACAGTTATACTAGCAAAACTTTTAACTGTAAACCAGGCTTTATTTTTGTATTTACTTACTAGGATCAGGGCTCGTAGTGGAGTTTACCAGTGACTTTCTGGTTGTGCAAAAATGTTGTATTGTTAGTTTGTAGGTTGTATGACCTGAGGACAAGTTCTGTGATAAATAGTCACTGATTTCTGCACAGTAATTTGCAGTTTTGCTATATATAGCTCATTTGGAGAATGGTGAGGAAATGGAAGAAGAAATACCCGTGGTGATATGTGCTGCTGCAGGCAGAATGGGAGCAGTTATAGCAGCAATCAATAGCATATACAGTAACACAGATGCTAATGTTTTGTTCTACATCGTTGGGCTAAAGAACAGCATTCCACATATCAGGTAACAGCGTTTGCCAAATGTATTATTTTAGTGCTTAATTAGGGTCAGAATGGCATTGGCCTTTGTACTGGGTAGGGGCAGATTAATGCATGGGCCTGAGAGGCCCCCAAGGGGCTCCAGCTAATCAGGGGCCCCCTGGGACACCAGGGGCATCACAGCCCAGGCAGGCATCCTGACCATGGGCATCCAGGGCAGGCAGCGCATGCCTCCTCCCCTCTAGCCAGGCCAGGGCCAGAGGCTAGGAGGTAGGCACAGGGCTCCATGTGGATAGTGGCAGCATCCCGGGGCTGTCTGTTGCCAGGAGGCCCCGTGGGCAGCCCTGCTCCCACTCCTGCTCTCCACCATCTGTAGGCAGCCAGTAGCACTGGTGCCTCTGGGACAGGACAGGATGGGACAGCCGCACCCCACCACGGCTGGCAGAGGGGCGGGCAGGCAGCTGGGGGCAGCACAGAGCCCGTGCCACCCCTTCCTCCCTCCCCCAGCTGGCCCTAGCTCCAGCCCAGGCCTTGGCCCTGGCCTGTTCCACAGCATAGGGGATTGCAGCCCCAGCTATGCGACACCCGCCAGGTGGAGGAGGGGCTGGGCCAGATTGGGGCTGGGGCTGCTTTTACCTCAGTGGTGCTTGCACCTTCTGGCTCACCCCAGACGTTCCAAGGAAGCTGGGCAGGCCCAGCTGCAGCAGAGGAAACCTGCCCTCATCTAGTGGGGGGGGGGTTCCAATTTTCTGTTTCCCCAGAGCCCCAGTAAATCTTAATTCACCACTGGCACTGGGGCACAGCACTGGAGGAGGCCCAAGGTGTTGTTCCTTCTCCTTGTGTAAGGGCCAGTAACAATTGCTCTCTTTATGGTCCTCTGCACAAAGAGACTACTGCCTCCTTGCCTTGCTTGGGACAGAAACCACCCCAGAAAAGCAGCATAGAATAGCTGGACCATAACCATTCCCCAGTGTCTTGCACTAACCAACTGCAGACAGATGAGTTTTGCATTACTCCTTATTTAGGGCTGTATTGTAACAATCAGAGTATAGGAACACACAAAGTAGGACTAATACAAGAAAAAAGAGGGTTAAAGGTCATAAATAGGGCTCCAACCATGACTGTACTAAAAACAGATCTTGGGGGATAAAAAGTAGGTGGAAAAAGGTGAACCCAGGTGGGACTTAGAAGGAGGGATCCCAACAACCGCAGGCCATTGTACTGAAGAATCTAATCGTTTTAGACTGACAATCTATTGGACTTATACAGCACTCATTACTGTATTTTCTTTACAGTATTTATACTAGTTATAGTTTATGTTCCCAATACATGTGTGAGAGAGGGAAGTAATATTAATTCCATTTTTTAATAGTGGAGAACTGAGGCACAGAGAGATTAAAGCCAGATTTGAAAAGGTATTTAGGCACCTAATGTGAATTAACTTCAACAGGAATCAGGTGACCAAATACTGTTAAAATTCTGAGCCCAAATGATTTGCTCAAGATAATACAGAAAATCTGTATTCAGGGAAGATCAGGGAATTGAACCCCAATTGAAATAAAGACACAGGAAATGGCCTCAAGTAGGGCTGGTTAAAAAGAAGAATCTTTTTTTTCCCCAAATGTTGCCAGAAAGTTTTCTTTTTAATTCTAGAATGTTAGCATCATATTCTTATTCTTAATCTGGCCAGCTCTAGTCTTAAGTATAGCCAAGACCTATGCCATGAAGCATTTGGACACCTAACACTGAAGAATTTTGGGGATTCCATAACAGCTTTTTTTTTTTTCTTTTTCCACTTCAGACAATGGATTGAAAATTCTAAACTGAGAGAAATAAATTTTAAAATTGTGGAATTCAACCCTATGGTACTAAAGGGAAAAATCAGACATGATGCATCACGCCCTGAGCTGCTCCAGCCAGTGAGTAAACAAACGCCATGTCACACTGTCTAAGATTGAAGGGCAGGTTTACACATGCACTTTAATGCACATTAGCTTATTTTAATGCGTATTAAAGCATCACGAAAATGGTGCTGTTTAGTTAATGTGCATTGCAATAGGTTAGTATGCATTAAGCATCACTTAAAAACCATGGGCACCTATACACATACAGCAAGGCTGCTTTGATGCGCTGTAATTACAGTGTTTTGGAGCAGACTCAACTGAGTGTGCTGAAGCATGGTAATTACCGCACCACATGTATCATTGTACCTGCGCTGAAAAAATGGTGATGGGGGCACTTTAACTAAGGCTCATTGAACAAGCTTTAGTTACAGCGCTGCCACCATTTTTCAGCACAGGGATGCTGATACACGTGATATTCCAGGTGCTTTCATCAGAGCGGCTCTTGGAACCGCTCTAATGAAAGCACTCCCTGCCCCCCCAACTCCCAGAGCATGTGTATAAATGCCCCGAGCTCTTTAGTTAATGTGCATTAAGACAGCCTGATAGGCATTGTCTTAGTAGCTCACAATGGAGGTACTAGATTTAATTCACATTAACTAAAGCATGTTAATGTGCATGTAGACATGCCCAAAATGCTCTTTAAAGATTTATGATCTTTGAAAACTTTTCCCTCCTCATGCAGGACTGCAGGGGTACTGAATGAGCTGCATTATACTTTGTTACACTCTTATTGTTCTGTACTGAGTGGCCTAGCCCTCCATCAGTAGTGAGTGCCTCCAACACCACATTGCACTTCTGCTCTTTCCTGGGGTGCAGCTCCCCTTTCATATGCTGTATTTGATGATTCTAAGAAGACCTGACTAGGCTAAATCCTAGTCTGACCTGACTAAATTATGGCTATGGCATATCCTTAGGCTAACCAGCTCGGGGAACAGGTACTTTAGAAGTTGCTCATAAAAATTACCTCACTTTTGTTGTAGTGTAATGGAATAATCAGTGTTATTGCTTTGTCTTCCATAACTTTGTGTCCTAATACATCACTCAGAAAAAAGACCAGCTGCTAAATGTTGAGGAAGCAGTCAAAGGAAAAGCAAAGAGATCACTACATGAAAATTTCTGCTAGTTTGCCCATCTCCTCATATGGCTGTTTTCAACTAGAGACTTTAAACTCTTGTAACTTTAAGAATTTAAACATAGTTTGGGAGAGGGAAAGTTCAAAGATGGTATAATTTCTTAGCTGGTGGTGTTCTGGTAATGCTGAAGGCTGCTTTAAAATACAGCAGCTGCCCATGACCACAATACACCAATTCAGAAGACGAGAGAAGCAAGGGTTTTTTTTTTTGGTGAAATCTTTCATTGGAACAACTGTAAAGATGGTAGAGATGTTGTAGCATCAAAGATATCACTGGAAAACCTTTGCTTCTTGCATATTTCTTGCACCATTACAGCTACAAGAACACCTCAACCCTACTGCAGAAGACAAAGACTTCCAGGATGCAAAGAAGCAGCAGTTTGTCCTTTTTCCTTCTGATATGCTCCCTACTTCTTCAGTAGAAACTGCTGTGCCATATATATGCTACTAGAAGGGCACATCTACATGAGACGCGTTAATCCACATTAGCCTAATTGAATGTGCATTACAGGTGTGTGTCTACACATGCATGCCCTTAATGCGCATTGAAAATGGCAAAATTAGGCTAATCATGCCTAAATTTGATACCTGCAAATGCAGGTATCAAATTTAGGTGCAATTAGTTAAAGCACATTAATGCACATGTAGACGCAACCTGGCACTATAGTGCTGGGTCTGCTCAGCCACTAGGGGCACATGGCAAGGCTGCAGGGGCTTGACATTAACTTTAGTGCCAAGTCCCTGTACGTGTAGGCATCTGCGAAAAATCGCTTAATGAACATTACGTTTAGTTGTGCTTAAATGCACATGTAGATATGCCCGAAGATACCTACTCTGGGGAGAGTCTCCAGTAGTTACACTGATTGCAGAACTTTGCATCAGTCATGCTGTGAAAAGCAAATACAGAGCAGCAACAGATCTGGACCACTGCAATAAACACTGGCCACCAGACCTATTAAGTTTTTAAGGCTAAAAGACCAAGATACATTTCTCAACTTAAACAGCTAAATGGACTAAGTTGGAGACAGCTAGAAAGTGTTCACCTGGGGCTTTCCTTACATCCTGCTGTGGCAACATGGGTCAGTTTCATCCCTTTTTGGCCTTTACCACTGACTTCAGATGGACCTGAATAAGGGAACAAAATGTTCCTATGTTGCTTTAGCCTAAGCCAGATATTTAGCAATCTTTACAAAGTTCTCATGTAAAATTCTGGAAACACTATAATAATTATTAGGATGAGTTTTCCCACTGTCTTTGGTAAGGCCAGGCTTTCACCCTAGGAGCTTTGAAGGAAATATGGAGGCAAGTTTAAATTGTGAAACTAAGTAAATTATTATGAATAGTGCACAGTGAGGAGAGGCCTAAACTACATTTAGATATGAGAAAAGAAGTTCAAGGCTATAACCTGAAGCCACTACATCATTTTTCAAAATTTTCTTTTGTGTGTGTGTATGTCTAACAGCTGAACTTCGTTCGGTTCTATCTCCCTTTGCTCATCCAGAAACATGAGAAAGTCATATATTTGGATGATGATGTCATTGTGCAAGGTAAGCCATTCTCCAAAAAGTAGTTTGCAGCATGACTAAAATCAGAGATCAACAGCTTACACAGTCACTAAAAAAATATGAGGTCTGTTTGATGCCAAGGAGGAACTCTTAGTAGGGCTGCACATATGACAGTTTCATATCTACCCTTCTAGAATATTTTAGGAAAAGAAAATTTAAGGGACAGCTTTTACTTTTGGAAGTTTGAGTCTGCTCTTAAGCCCAGGGATGCTTTTCATTTCTTATTGCAGATGATCCATTGTTGTGTATACATGGGCCTGACAAGCATCAGAAGTGATTTCATTAGCACAGATTGCAATATTAATCTCTAAATAGATAACTTGTATTTCCTACCATTGTTTGAATCCCCAGAAATGCTTGTAATAGTATTACTGTAATTATCTACTTATTCTCAAGATAACAAAATTGAATCAGATCAAGGGGATAGAAAGCCTGGCTCCTTTTGTTTCGAGTGCCATCAATTCTTCTTTAAATCTGTGGGAGCTAGGGTCACTCGATACTTCACAAAACCAGGCTCATAGGGGTTGATAGTTTGTGGTTAAGCCATAAAAGCTAGGAGACTGTTTATATCCTAGGAAACCCCCCCATGTCCATGCAGCAAGAGTTAACTAGAAGCATAGGTCTCTTTTCAGGTAGGTTTCTCTATAAGGCTTCCACCACTTTTTCTTGCTTTATTATTTTACTTCAACCCACTTCCTTTTGCTTATTAGTTCTATAATTTTTTTTTTTTGCCCCAGGATCTCAAAAGCATTTTATATATGTTAATTAAGCAATAGCATCCTTATGAAATAGAAATTTAATGAGCGTTGTGTTTTGGTAAGGACTGAGTGAAGACATTAAAGCTCCTTGAGGCAACTTCCTCTCTGGTATAACAGTATGTAGGTCAGCAGAATTCTTTTTTTGTATGACAAAAATGGTGTCCGTATCTTCATCTTTGTGCTCTTTGCTGTTTTTGTGGATTCGGGAACTCTTGGCCATCAGAGATGTCACCAAGGATCACTACGTGGAAGTGGCTGTCGTTGATCTCTGTCACCAGAATGATTTCAAAGAACAATTGTATTAATTTGTTTTCAACTTTTCTAATGTTTCCCTTGCTTTTCTGATCAGCAGTACTTAGAGGCACTTAACTATTTAAAATATGGTATTTTTGTTCTTTTTGCTTTACCTTCATTTACAAGGAGCTTCATAATAGTTTCCTCCATATTAAACCATTTGAAAATCTTGCATATAGATATGCCTTTTCAATGGAGTCATCATCTCTCCCTGTTTTATCATGTGTGGCACAATCTATGGGGAACAGATCCTGAAACATTCATTTAGTCATATTTCTCTTTAAAATTAATAAGAGTTTTTGTAGGGTATAAATGAATATGGATTAAAGGGATTAAATCTGGAAATAATGTTAGTTATGTGCCTTCTACCAAGCAGCAAGAAATTCACAGTGAATTTTGGTGCATTGTATCAAAAGTGTTGCTTTTGGTTTTCTTGTAACTGGGCACTTCTACACGAGATGCTTTACTCAAGATTAGAGCAAATTACTGAGCCACTGTCTACACATGCAGATGCTTATTGCACAGTAATTTGCTCTAATCGCCAGTAAATTTGCTACCTGTAAATACAAGTAGCAAAATTTACTTGAGATTACTTACTATATCGTATGGCATGTGTAGATGGCTGACTGGGAGCAAACTTGCTCCAGGTCAGCTGGGCAGCAGGTAATGGTGGTGGGAGATTGCTTCCTGCCTCTGGGTGTTGCCTGCTGCTGGGGCACTGGAGTTTTGGTGGGGCAATGTCTCCATGCCCCAGCAGTAGGGAGCTCCCAGCCCCTGCTCCCCAGTTGCAATCATGGAGCAGGGGCAGGGGAGATTGTTCTCAGCTGCAGCTCTGTGATTGCGATCATAGATCAGGGGCTGGGAACAAGGTGGAAGCTGGGACAAGAGGCTCTGAGCTTCCCACCAGCCCCTAGATTAGCACCCAGGGGAATCCTAGAGCTCCCCCTGGCTGCTGCAGGGGGCCAGTGCAGGGCTGGAGGGGGCCAGAACAGACTGCTACCAGGAGCAGATCTGCTCCCGCATCCCTGCATGTGTAAATGCCTGCCTGGGGTGGGTTTACTCTATAGAGTAATTTACTCTAAGGTAAACCCACCCCACAACATTTGCATGTGTAGGCCTGCCCACTATCTATATCTTGAAAAAAGGAGCTATTTTGAATTTGGAGGAAATTTCTTCTCAGATTAGAACAATTTTAAGGCAGGTTAATTTTGAACCATAAGTAGCTTTACTTCAAATGTTGCCCCATAGTGGAAAATTAATTTTCTCTCAGGTTTTCCAGATACGTTCATGAGTTGCATCCATCAGATGATTAGTCTTTTATTTCTTAAACAACATTTTCTGTGTTTTGTTGTGTCATGCCAATCAGTACCATATTCAGGTTTCCTAGCAAATGCAAATGGATTTACTTTATCAGTGGCAGAGCCAATGACATTAGGTGCTAATGTTATTTTGTTAATGTTGTGAGCCCAATTTTTAAATAGAAGGCCTATTATTAAAGAAAAAAAATACAATTATCTAACAATAGCCCAGATCAAACTGCACTGTACAGGGAACCAAAGCACAATTCTAGGGGAGGGGGAAAAGAATAAAAATCTCTCCCCCAAATCAGAGACTAACTATGGATATGAATATCTATAAAAGCAAGCTGCAACTTCTACTTCAGCTTGTGTCCCACATTTGGACATTAATTTCAGCATGCAGGCACACCAAATGAGAACATCCAAATACAAAATTTCTATGTCCAGTTATAGGTCCCAAATTTGAAAACTGCACCCATAGAACAAAATACAGCTCTCACTTACATCTGTACAGTTCCTTGAAAGTGGTAGAAATATACCTAAGGCAAATGAGCACAGAAAAGGTCCTAAACAGTCTTAAGGACAAGTATGTGGCAATAAGAGATCCATTCTGAAATTCTCAATTCTTCTATTGTCAGGGGACATCCAGGAACTATACAACACAAAACTAGCTCCCGGCCATGCTGCAGCTCTTTCAGACGACTGTGATTTGCCTTCTACCCACGAAATGGTCAGAAGTGTAGGAATGCAGGTAAAACGTCATTTTGAAATTCAGATTTTTTTTGAGATTTAGCTTTATTTTTTTTCTACACCTCCCCCCTAAATGACAGTTTTCTTAGGGTATAGGTGCATAGTTTGTACAGTTTATTAAGGGGAATTTCTTTCTGCGACAGTGTAAAATATGTTGCTGTATTGTGTCTTCTGAAGTATTTTCAGCATTCTAAAATTATGTTCATTTCAGAAGGTCACATGTTTCAATTTTGTCTTCTCAATATGTAAAGATTAATATTAGGCTTTTAAATAGTTGAGAAAGAATTAGGGTCAATTTTTTGGGGCTAGTCAAAATATAATATTTGAAGGCTAATTTCTAAGTAGGACCAAGCTTCTCTGAGAGATTTTAAATGTAGTAGCCTTAAAATATCCTAGGTGATGGACACATAACAGCAATCAAGTTAAGATACAGAGAGAGTAAAGAGGAACAGGCCAGCGACAGAGCATTGTGGACTACAAGGGAACTATAACACAGAGATAACGATTTATAATCTTCCAGCTTTGTGTTTTACACTGAAGTCAAGGCAGATAATATCTAGAAATGCAGTTCTTAGAGGTTCAGGTTCAATATCTGTGAATACTGTAGGTGTTTGAGGTAGACACATATTTAATTATATTTACATGAAGAGCTATAGTAGATATACATCCTAGGTGTAATTTCCTTTCTTTCTAGAACACTTACATGGGCTTCCTGGACTACCGAAAGCAAACAGTTAGAGATCTTGGCATCAGCCCTAGCACCTGCTCCTTTAATCCTGGCGTGTTTGTTGCAAACATGACCGAGTGGAAGCATCAGCGGATTACAAAGCAGTTAGAAAAATGGATGCAGAAAAATGTTGAGTGAGTACAGACACTTTGTTATCCTGGCTCTTGCTATGCAGTTTATACTTTAATTTTCTGTTCACTCTTCAGAGTTGTCTAGACAGGCCTTTCGTCACGGTTTACAAGGAAAAATAACTTATGTTGCAGAATTTCCCACTGTTGAAATCCAGCTCTAGGCACCAACAATCATAGAAAAAGTAGGGATCTCAAGAGGTAATCACGCCCAACCTCTCTTGCTCAAGAAAGGTTCATCCCCGTCTAAACAATCCCAGACAAATGTTTGTCTAATTCTGTGCTTAGAAATGTCCAGTGGCAGATTCTGCAGCCTCTCTAGATAACGTGATCCAATGCTTAACCACCGTCATAGCTAGAAAGGTCTGATACCTAACCTAAGATCTACCTTGTTGCAGTTTCAGCCTATTATTTCTTGTCCTGTCCACTACGGACATAGAGAACAGAAAACAATCAGTCTTCTCTTCCTTTTTAAATCTGAAGACTCATCAATCTCCCACTCAGTCTTCTGTTCTCTAGACTAAATAATCCCAATTCTTCCAATCTTCTCTCATAGGGCACATTTTCTAGACCTCCAGATACTTATGTTGCTCTTTTTGGGACTGTTTTCAAGTGATCAACACCTTTTCTTGAAGTGCAGTTCCCCCAAAGTACTCCCCCGAAACGAGTCAGTACTCCAGGTGAGGCTTTGCTAGTACTAAATACAGTGGAAGAATCATTGGGTATGATTTCCATATTAACTCCTGTTAATATATTTAGTATGGAAAATAACTCTCCACTTTTGCTGGGAGCCTCACAAATTGTAATGCAAACCAACTATAAAGGGGCCAATATTTGTACAGAATTCAAGAAGACTGCTTAAACACCAGTGAAAAACATGTCCTTTTGTCTCCCAACTTTTATTGACAAAGAGCTGCAAACGTGGGAATTCCTATCTGAGAAAAGCAGCAAAAGATTGTTCTTTTACAACCTATTTATGTTATAAATATATGCTATAAAGCCAGGAGTGCAAGTTATCTATATATTCCTGATGCAAATTAGTAGTAAATATGAGATAATCCTGTGCAGAGTGAGATTCAAGTTAAGTCATGGTACAGCAAAGCAGAGCTATAATTAAAACAGGTCTTACTTTTTCAATGTTAATTTTCTGGAAGGTGGAGGGAAGGAGGAGGTTTACATGCATGTGTGGTAAGTTGCTTGTACAGCATTAAACATTGCTGGCAACTAGCAAAAATATTCTCCAAAAGTTAGAATACTGATAAGACAAATAACTAGCATATCTGTTTTTACCAAATGGTTCTGCCCTGGTTTATAGTGAAGATCTTATTTTCTTCAATATTTTGAGGGGTGGGTTTTGTGTTCTTTCACAGGGAGAACCTTTACAGCAGCACCCTTGCAGGAGGTGTGGCCACCTCTCCAATGCTCATTGTATTCCATGAAAAATATTCTGCTATAAATCCCTTATGGCACATAAGACATCTTGGTGAGTACGTTTCATTTTGAAACGCTATGGGTTGGAATTAAAGGAGGAGGTATTAAGGATGATTATATTCATGACTATGTGATTATATTAATTATATAATGAATGATTATATTAATATGCATCATCATATATTGAATGATTGTATTTCTATGGTTATATTGATTCTCGGTACCTTACTTGCACCTCAGATCAACAACGCCTGCTCAATGCTAACTTGTTTTCCTCCAATATTCAATATTAGTGGACTTCCATTTTCTGTGTCCCACAGTAGCTATTTGGGGAATTTTCAAGTAAATCTTTCAATCACGGCTCAATGCTTTTCTGGAAGATACATTTTAAACAAACAAGTTAGTGGGTTCAATACAAAGGTAGGTAGATTAAATTTAGTGGCACATGATATACCAGAGGAGATTAGATGATTTAACAGCGCCTCTGGCTTTGGAATCCAAGGTCTAGGAAGAGGTTGAAGGACAAATCAGTCACTTTCAAAAACAGTTCTGGATTTGGTTTTATCTTAAGAATGGATTACTGCCTTAAATGAAGAGATAGCTAAATAATGGGTATAGACACATAACACAATTACTATAGAGTGATTTATTCTAGATTTTATTCTATAGTAAAAAAACCCCAAACACTTGTGTGTGCTCTCTGGACACAGGTAATGTTTTCCAAGCTGCCTGTCTGCAGTAGGTGCTATTACAATATCTATCCAATACTTGGCAGGTGGCTAGTTTGAACTGAACAACTGGTTACCCAGGGATTAAACTGGCTATGGGAGTGGACACATCACACATTCCATATGGTAACTTTCCTATGTAGAAGTTACTCTATAGTTTTCAAAGGTTAGCTTTACCCTGAATTCAGATGACCTGCTACTTAATAGGGCTACATGTTGTGTCAACTCCATGTTTACCAAGTAGTAAAGTCAAGTTACTGTGCAGTAAAAGTCTTATGTGTCTGTGCCCATTATTGGAACAATATTTTATAATAAAATACTTCGTACTGTGAAATAAGTGACCTGACTGAAAGGGTACTGGAATTGGGCTACGATTGATCCAAGTATTTTGTATGTACTAAGCAGATGGACCCCCCCTTCCTTCTCCTCTACAGAAACCTGAACAAAAATTCCACTATTTAAACATTCAACATTGCAAGAATGTATTTTCTGAGATTAGTAGCAGACCTAGAAATGAAAAATTAGATCAAAAAATGCTTGTGTCAGAAATAATTGACAATTAAATTACTGTTTTATTTTAATTTTCCATTTCCAAAGGAGGAAATCCTAGAGTGGGATGCACTGGTTGGGATAACACTTGCCAATAAATAAATAATATTCAGAGATATTTTTTTTTTAAAGACACAAAGATTAAGTAGTACGACAGGGATCACCTCTTCCTGTGTGTAAAAGAATGAATACGTATTTGTGATGGTCCAGTATAGTAACTCAGAAATTTCAGCTGCAAAGAAAAAATTGCTTAGCCTTTCTTCAGTCACCTGTAGTGACTGGAGTTTTTCAAAACATATTGTCCATCTGTACGTTCCACTGTGGATCTACAAGCCTTATGTACTTGAGCTTTAAGACTTCTGGCAAGTAGGACCACCCTCCCACCCCGGTCGCACTGTGTTCACACTCTCCTTGTGCTTTTCATAAAGAATATATATAGCACACACCGACTGCTCCTCAAATGCAGTTGCAGGCTATCATCCAGGATTTGAAAGAGGTGATGAAGGGTGGAATGTGGTGGAATGGATATATGAACAACACATCTTGAAGGACTTGTTTCTTAATTTCTCTTTGCAATGATGGTCCATATGCATATTCCATTGTGGAAGACTCCAAAACAGTGTCCAGCCTATATTAGCAGTGAGATCTTAGACTGTAAGTGGAATAGTGATTTTAGTAAAAGTTGTTCTACTGCAGCAGCTCAACATGACACTTCAGTAATGGCATAATGTATGACAGCCCTGGTAGAATATTTTCTAATCATTGCTGAAGGCTCCACTTTAACTGTATTGTAGGTGGTCTGGACACAACTGGACATCCACTTAGAGCACTGGCTCTCACCCAGCCTTTTAAGACTCAAGGCACCCCTCAGAATAGGCTAGCTTTTATCTTTATATATATTTGAAGGGTATAACTGGATGCTGCACAATATTATCACTGTTAGGTGTTATATATAAAATATAAATATATATATTTTACTATGGAAAAATAAAGTAATGATTCTATTGCAAAGAATTTGCAAAAAATACAGATAGACCACAACAGGTCAGAATGTTTTTGACACTATTTGAAATCTCTGGGTTTATCTTGTAAATTTTGTGGGTGCATGAACACCTAACAGTGATAATATTGTGCAGCATCCAGTTATACCCTTCAAAACATCTTGCAGGACCCTAGTTAAGAATCATGAACTTAGTCCCTTGGCAGATGTTGAATAATAGCATGATTAGGATTTAAGAAATGTTATGTTCCATCTTAAACATCACACAGCCTGAGATGCTCTCTGTGCATGGCAGGGCATGCAGTGTTTGGGATAGGGCATAACATTCCTCTTATCCAAGCTACACCACTGTGGAGTTGTCCTCAGAAACAGGCACAGGGAACCCTGGGTCCTGGCTTGGGACTTGGAACTGCCCTTCAAGGAAACCTCGGAATATAGTGTTGAGGGAAGTTTGTCATCAGCACCTGGATTTTCCCTACTCTCCCCAGGGTCATGAAGCCTTTCTTAACAGACAGGTGCAGAAGTTAACTTATTACCATAGGTTCAAATGACAGTCCCAGGATTGTAATAATTAATTAGGTGCCCTTGCAGGACCATGTTCTTCCTCAGAAAGAACCCCTTAAATTTCTATTAACTCCAGTATCACAGGATAGGAAAAAAAATCAAGTCCTCCATCAATGGATGATGAGTTGAAATGGCTGCTAGATGCAGCTTGACCAAGCTTAAACACAGGTCATTCTGCTTCACCCTCAAAGGAGGTGGTGGTGTTCCTACTACACCCTGTGGAAAACCCAGTCCATTTCCCTGCTGTAAACCAAGGTATTTGTGACAAGATACCTCAGTCTACAGAAAAAAGCCTGCTCTACACTCAGCAGCCATCTACCATAATGTATGAGGTGAAGAGAGCTTCAGTCTTATCCTGAGTTCTTATTCCTAGGATAAGACTGAAGACTGATACTGGCAACTGATACTGGGAGCACCAGTGTAGTCTTGAGACTGTGGGAAGACAGATACACTCATCTGGGAACTATGCTGGGACTAGTAGAGGCATATCAGCAAGTCTTGCTTGGCTTCATCCAGTACTCTGGGTATCAAAGGAGCTTGTGGGCAAGTATACAGTAGCTTTATGTATATGGCATGAGAAAGGCAAATACTGATCTTGGAAAAGCCTCAATCCAAAAGAATGTTGTAGAGGACAGAGTCTTTGACCTGAAAAGTAAGGCTGGACTAAGAATGTAAACCTGAAGCCTTACCTCCCTGTCCTTTCAGGTCTCGGAAATAAAGGGTTTGCTCATGGAGCATATATGCTGGATTCACCCAGAGAACACAGGCACTTGAAGTTGTTCAAGCCCTGTCAGAGAAAGGACACCGCTTAATCTGCCCCCTGTACCTCTCCTCCTACCCCATGAGGTGGTCATATGTATCTATATCTATAAAGCAAAAAACTGCCATCAGGCAACACAAACCAAAAGGAATTCTAACTAAAAAATAAGATACTTAGTGGAGAATTAACTAGGTTAATAACAAACAGCATGTAGCTAGGAAGAAAAACTAGTTTACGACAGCAGAGCACTCATCTTAAGCCAGAAGACACTTGAGGGGAGCTGAAGAGCACGAGATGCATAGCCTACTCTTAATGAAAAGCATGAGGGTAGGCTAGATGCTTCCATACTTTGTGCTTATTGCTAGGCAAATATCTTTAAGTTCAAGTGTGGCACATTTCTAAGACATGCCTGAGCACTAACCATGGAATGTGCATACGGACAACTGCTCAAAAGAAAACTGGGCACATTCAGTATAAAGGGAAAAATAACTATTGAGAAGAAGCAAGTTATTTTACTTATTTATCACTACCATTTTCACTAGTCCAGGATCAAAAAAGTAAAAGGTTTCAATACAGCCAGAGGAGATTTGAAGACATACCGTCAGCCTTCAGTGGATGACAGCATTCAACAGGACAAAGGGATGATGACTTAGTTATTTAAAAAAAAATGTAAACAAGGGAACCTATTAGATTAGGCAACTGAGGTTCCTTATGACTTCAATTATGACACAATAATAAATTATTAGAACAAGGCAAAGGCTGCTGTTATCAAAGAACATGTGGTAAAAGCAGATGAGAATGAGCAGAACAAAAATGTCCATGAAAAATCATCACTCTTACAAAATAGGCCATTCTATCCAACAAACACTAGTATGCAGACTCACTTTTCATTAAAAGTTTTGATTTTTTTCCCCTTGCATAGCATCTTCTGGCAATAGCATGCATCCATAAAAGCTAGACTTATTTATTTTTATAAACTGTGCAGGCTGGAGTCCTGATACCCGATATTCGGAGCATTTTCTTCAAGACGCTAAATTACTTCATTGGAACGGAAGATATAAACCTTGGGACTATCCTAGTGTTCACACTGACCTGTGGGAAAAGTGGTTTATCCCTGACCCTTCAGGAAAGTTCAAACTGATTCGTCCCGATAGCTGATACTGATATATATGTAAATGTTTATACTTAAAAAAATAAAATACGTTTCCAGCAAGATCTAATTAATCTTTCTATTTATACACCACAGTTTGTAATACTGTTTTCCCTCTTTCTACTGTGAAACAGCTATTGAGCAAAACTGTATGTGCAACTGCTTTTACAAAATTATCCACGAATATTTGTTAAGGACTCCCATACGATGAAGTTTGCCTAACTGCGCCTGTGGAGAGGGAAAATTCAGGATTAGCTTGAATTTCAAATACAGGAAACCTGATAATGAAAACACTTTGATAAGGTATTTACAAAGATGAAACTTGCTACTAACCAAAATATATGCTAATGCAATGTCTCCTACCATCTTATCTTGCTGACAGAAAATCTACACCAGAAGGACTTTGCAATGTTAGAATACAAAATCATTTTAGCTTTGTAAACTATTTTTAATCATCGCTACATGAAAATTAATGAAACATTTCCAGAGGTATAGTTAGGGACCCACCAAATTCATGGGCCCTGGTAGCCTATGACATGGCTGTAACATGGCCGGGCCCTCCCAGTTTCACGGCCATATTACGGCCAGGACTGACATTGTGAAGGTGGAGCAAAGCAGCACCCCCATCGCATCTGATTGGCTGAGGGGTGCTGCAAGTTCCACCCCTCCCAGGCATTGATTGAAAGTCCTAGCTGGAGCCTTCTGACTTGTTAATTCAGTAATTATCACCCTCTTCAAGGGGCAGAGGACGATAATTACTGACTAAACAAGGCTGACCCCTTCCCAACCTGACTGGCTGCTGGACTGAGCTGATGTCAGGGACTCAACCTCCAATTTGCTCCACTGCAGCTGTTATCCTGCCCCTCTCTTCAGGAGAAGGGGTCTTTTGGCAGGCTTTTCCTGCTCCCCCCTCCCCTTCTGGAGACAGAGAGATGGGAACTTTTCCCATCTCTCCTCCCACCTCCCCCACTTCAGGAGACAGGCAGTCTGCCTTTTTTTTTTTTCTTTTTGCTTCCTTCCTCTGCCCTTCTAGGAGACAGCTTTTTGAACATAGCCAGTTCCCCATGCTTTTTCACAGAAGACTGCCAATTACACAATTTCCATGAAATCGTGTATTTGGTAGGTCCCTAGGTATAGTTTTTACTCAATGCAGCCATTTTATAATCTACTGCCTCTCTTTCAAGAGACTATAGTGAAGCAATTCAGTCATTATTTGCATGTATTATAATATATTCTTATCCTATTATTAGCAGATTGGCAAATATCACATTTAACCAGAATAACACATCTGATTCCAATACAATTCCTGATTTTATTGCGAAACATTTGTAGATTTTAAGACAGTTTAAAAACCTCCATATTAAATGTAATGAAAGAGCACCAGTTCTGAGAGAATACACACACATCACTTGCAATATTTAATGTAATTGTCTTTGTATGTTTAACTATACTTTATACCTACATAATGCAGTAGGTGCCTGTCAAAGAAGAGACTTTCAAATTAAGAAGCCATCTTTACAGTAGTTATGTACTATCACATTACCTTCTCAGCAATGGTAGTTACATGCTTTCCAGAGTTTTGTTGAAAAATAAATTGAATTGTAACAAATCCCTGATGCAAGAAACTCTGAGCACCAGCAGGAAAACGTCCATGTAAACAGTGACACATGATACAGTACATTTTAAATAACAAATGAATGATTTCTACATATCTTTGACAATATAATGAACAGCTTTATGCTAGAGCCAATAAGCATGATCAGAGCCATAATGCACATTGTCTTGATTTAAGAAACTCTACAATTAAGCCACACAATTTGGGAAGAAAACTGTAAAATAGCATGCCTGCTTCACAGGAAGCTGGCAGTGTGTGGGATCCAAAAGCATAACAGTAGGTTTAGGATCTACACTGAACGCATCCATTCAACCTCCGATGAAAACACTGCTGAAGCATGTGAGAAGATGAAAGAAAAAACAAACCTGGTGGTGTAATCTCTAATTAGTTCAGATTACAGAAATACCATCTGTGTACATTTCAAGTATATAAAGCACCTGCTCTCATAAGATAATCAAAACATTAATGCTTTGATCAACTTATTGCTTTTTTCCCCAACTCACCTCTATAAAAGAGAGGGAAAGACGGTGATATTAGGCACAAGCATGGAAATTCATTTCCTCCACACACCCTAAACGTTGGCCACATAAACAAAGTGTACACAGAGACACATGCACTATTTTAGCAAGTTCTTAAGAAGAGGTCCTTACTTTCCAGGGTTGATTTTGTTTTCATAGATTAGCTGCCCACGGTTTTAACCTCACTATCATTATTCCTGAAGGAAGCAAACAGAAAAATCCCCCTACACTTAGAGGCACAGAGGAAAGGGAACTGAACCGTATCAATTATCCCTAATCTTTCAGCTTCAGTCTAGTTTTCCCTCTTGGTGACCGATACAAATAAACGACTGTTCCTGCATTTAGCTAGGAGCATAGCCTCCCCATTTCCTGCAAAGGTAGCCAGTTTCAAGGGGTTCCATTTCTCCATTCAGTGCTAGAGCTACTTGGTGTAGGCCAAATGGCACGTTGGAGACCAGCAAAACATGAAAATTAGAGTGTTAGAGTCTGCAAAGCTCAAAAGCTTCCACCTTGTATTTTTCAGAGGGGGCTCAAGGGAATGAAAGGGATCCTAAACAGGCCTCATCTCAAGTCAGCTGTACTAGAGCAATTCAAACTGTGTTCCTGCTCAACACACTGGATTCTCCTTCACTCTCACTCCATCCCACAAATTGGATAGCTAAGAGCTCTAGGTCAGGAGTTGGCAACCTACAGCCATTTTATCCAGTCCATACAGCCAGGGGAGCTTGTGGCCTTTCAGTGGAAGGGAGCTTTGCCTGCACAGCAGCTGTATGGTTGGGGGGAGCAGTGGCAGCAGCACTGTGGGAGGGAGTGGTAGCAATGGCAGAGGCCAGTGGAAGTGGTCTGTGCCAGGAGCAAACTCTATTAAAGTGGGCTTCCACTCTAAAACATTGCTGACCTGTGGTCTAGGTGGCCAACAAGCCGAATGGAGATGGGAATCCATCCTAGCTCAGAAAACAAATCAGCTACTAATAGCTGCACAGTGGGACTCTCTCACCTATGGCAGCGAAGTGAAGGCAGCCCGTGACAATGCACACTTTGTATACCTACATTGACTTTTAAAGCCTTGCTCCTTGTGAGAGCAGGGCAACATTTTCATTTTCCCCTCTCTGGGTGTAAAAGGATTACGAAATATCCAAACTTATTAAGGAGTCAGTAAAAACTATAACTCTGCAGACTGCTACATTAAAAATCACAGAAGAAAGTTAACCCCCAAATAAAAACCAGTCTTCATGAACGAGAAAGCAGTTTGTCAAAAACTGCAAGAAATGGTGCATGTTAAATATAAAACTCATATACAAAAAAGGGCTACTTTTTTTTTAAGTTGGACTTTTCCTTAAAATTACCTAGTTCATAAGATTAAATCTACCACACAATTGGTTTGGACTACAATAAAATATCTAAGAGAGGTAAAATACTATTAAAATGCTTCAGTTACAGAACTGAGGTACCACTTTTGTTAACTGCATTAAAACTGCAGCATTTATGCATACACTGCAGAAGCAGCTTTTATACACTGCTTCCTTCTAGCTCTTGTGCCCTGCTGTTATTGAATTCTGGAATCTGGTCTGTAAAGGACTGTGTCATCCACTGTCCATTAGGAACATCACCAAAGCATGAACCTCCACTGTACTCTGGATTGCTTGATGCTGGAAAACAAAAGTATCAATATTTGGTCAGATGATGGCTACGTGGAAATAAACGCCCCCCCAAAACCCTGATATTTTCCAAGCAATTTTCCCCTCCATTATCCAACTTTCTCTATTCTTCACCACAGCCTGACGTATTTGTTTCTAGTTTGTGTTTCCTTATTTTCAGTGTTATTTTGTATTAGCTTTAGTTCATGTTAACTTCTTAAAAATATAAAAATTTTGGGGATGGGGCAAGGTAGGGGCTGGAGATCAAAACATAATGGCCTAAGTCTGAGTGGAAGCTGGTAAGTTCATTGCTAATGAAGTAACAAACAATGATTAAATACATTTAAAATCCTCTAATTTTTTGTTTGGAAATAGCATAACCATCCCAAATCCACTACGTTCTTAGTATAAGGGAATAAGAAATGAATTTCAGAGAGCATGAACAGTTCAGAAGGACAGTATAAAGGCTGCAATGTATGTAAGAAAGTGACAAGAGGAAATGAATTTTGAGAGACCTTTGAGAAAACTCTGCAATCATTGTTCTTTTCCCATTTTTGTGCTAGTTCCTTAATTGTAACTTCTGGTGCTATTTTGATTGGTGGCTTACAGCAGTGGTGCTGAACCGAGCTGTAGCCTAGCCCTGACCTGGCTGCATGGGGGGGGCAAGGGGTGTGGCCCAGCTCTGATCCAACCATGGGGGGCAGGGGTGTGGCCAGGCCCGAATCTGGCTACAAGAGGGGGAGAAGGAGGCATGGCCCAGGTCTGATACAGCTTGGGGGAGGAGGTGTCTGGCTCCAATCTGTTCCCTGAGGGCTTGGGAATTTGGCAGCGGAGGAGAGGTGGCAGTATTGCTTGCCACTGCTCCCCTGCCATCAAAATTTCTTGACCTGTGGGGAACCCCATGAGCCAGATGCCATGGCTCTCTGGGGCAGATTTGGCCATGGGCTGGAGGTTGAGCATCCCTGGTATGAACTGTAAATTAGAACTCCCAATTATGGATTAATTTTTCTGTGAGAATCCGAGTTCCAATTTTACCTTTTCTTTCACTCATCCCTTGTTCTTTGTTTATAATTTTCCTTACACTCCCATGGGGCTGAAAGTGTGTTTTCTGTCAAAGGTCTGCAAGACAAGTGTATTGACCTAGGATGGAGCTACTAAGGAACTCAAGTCAAGTATGCACTCAAAAACTAGAGAACATCAAAGATTAAGTCTTCCTGAATAATATTAAATGGGCTATTTTAAATGGTCTGCATAGGATTTTTTTTTTTTTGGTTTCCTTGTACTCACTTTTGTCCTTTCATAGAATCTAGCAATATTTGGTAGGTTGTTGACTATCAAAGCTCATATTTCTCTGTATCAGTTAGTCTTTAAGATGCCACCTTGCCCTATCTTCTGCCTGATTAAAATTAACATTATTAACTCTGTTCCCATCATTGCAGTAATACAATTCAGCTTTTGTATTAGCTTTCAAATTGATCAATCTGAGAAGAATTATTTGAGAATAACATCCATCTCTGATACTACAGCAAAATACTACGGTACAATACATTTTAATACATTCACCTTTGCCAACATTAATATAACTAGATAATCTGAGCTCTGTCAATTTCTTATTGTGTGTTTTACCACTCACTTGTCAACTATACTTCGTTGCTACCTTCATTTTTATGTTCTAGTTCTTTTTCTTATGAAAAGCACTATAATTTTAGATAAAAAAAGAGTATAAAGATAACAGGTTAATTCAATATTTTACTTGTGAAATTGTTATAGTTATTTTACATAATCAACTTGTTTAATCTTCCTTAAAGTCTTTGGATAGGTGTTTGAAGTTGCCAAAAATCTATGTTACTTAAAAAAAAAAAAAAAAAAAAATCAGTGCCCAAGAAAATGTGTCTCCCTCCCTCCCCCACAAATAAAACAGGAGGTGCCAATGGCAAGCCATGAGGAATTTGTCCTACATCATATATTTAACAATTTCATCGTTTCACAGTTGTTACGGGCTGGAAGGGACCTTACAGACCATCAGGTTCAGCCCCCTACCCCGCACGTGGGCACAAAAGACTACTGGAATCAAATGATCACAGCAAGATGGGCGTCAAGATTCATAGATGTTAGGGGACCTCAACATATCATTGAGTCTGACCCCCTGCCCTGGGCAGGAAAGAGCACTGGGGTTAGATGATCCCAGCCAGATGCCTATCGAGCCCTCTCTTAAAGACCCCCAAGATAGGGGAGAGCACCACCTCCCTTTGGAGCCCATTCCAAATTCTAGCCACCCTTACTGTAAAGAAGTTCTTCCTGATATCTAGCCTAAATCTGCTCTTTGTCAGTTTGTGACCATTGTTCCTTGTTACCCCAAGAGGCGCCCTGGTGAACAGAGCATCTCTGGTTCCTTGCATTGCCCCCCCCCCAATTAATTTGTAGGCAGCAAAAAAATCACCTCTCAGCCTTCTCTTGTGGAGGCTGAAGAGGTCCAGGTCCCTCAGTCTTTCCTTATAGGGCTTGGCCTGCAAACCCTTAACCATATGAGTGGCTCTCCTCTGGACCCTGTTGAGGTTATCCACATCCTTCTTAAGGTATGGCGCCCAAAACTGGACGCAGTACTCTAACTGCGGTCTGACCAATACCACATAGAGGGGAAGTATCACCTCCTTGGTTCAATTTGTCATGCATCTGCTGATGCAAAATAAATGGCTGTTAGCTTTGCTGATGATTTTGTCACACTGATGATTCATGTTCATCTTGGAGTCCACTATGACTCTGAGATCTCTTTCTGGGTCACTTCTGTGCTGATGAGAGGGCCATTTCTCAGCGAGTAGGTGTGCTAGATATTTTTACTCCCTGGGTGCAGCACTCTGCACTTGTCCTTGTTGAACTGCATCGATTGTGTTCTGCCGACTTTTCCAACCTGTCCAGGTCTGCCTGCAATTGTTCCCTACCCTCCCGTGTGTTCACTTTACCCTGCAATTTAGTATCATCCACAAACTTGGACAGAGTACACTTCATGCCCACATCCAAGTCACTAATGAAGACACTGAAGAGTACAGGTCCAAGGACCAAGCCCTATGGTACCCCACTGCCCACATCCTTCTAGGTCGATACCAGCCCATCCACTACCACACTCTGGGTGCGACCCCCAAGCCAATGTGCCACCCAATGGACTGTGTAATTATCCAAGACCGTGTCTTCATTTATTTATGAGAATGGGATGAGATACTGTATTGAAGGCCTTCCTAAAATCCAAGTAAACGAGAAAAGCTGTTTTTTGAAGATTGCCAGGATGGATGACTATACCACCTCTGGGGAGGGCCTGTTCCAAACCCTTGACACTCGACTTGTAAATAAGTTTTTCCTTATGTCTAGCCTGAAGCAATCTTCAGTCAGCTTGTGCCCACTATTTCTTGTCCTCCCCGGGGGACCTTGGTGAATAGATGCTCCCCCAAGCCCTGATGTATGCCCCTAAATGCTGTTGTACTGCAAAGCCTTAGAAAAAATCAGCTACAAAAGCTGCCTAGAAGGGTACGAAACCTAGAATATATTCAAATTTAAGAACGTATTGATTAAAAGCCACAAACACAATTTTTTACCAGTTCCATCTGAAGAGAAGTTGCACTGTTCGCTCTCATGGACTGTTCCATCACTATAAGCACCTCCATATGCTGCTTCATATCCTGGATCATATTTTTCTTCCTTAACTGCCATCTTTTTAGCATCCTCTGGAGAAACAAAAAAAAAAAAAAGGATTCAACCTGTTAATGTTCAGAATAAAAGCAAGCCATGATCATTTTGTCAGACAGCCACACAGCAAAATAATACATATATCTTTTACTTTGCAGTCATTTCACCTCTTAGAAAAATAAATACAATTAGGGTTTCAAGAAAAAAAAAAAAGTAATTCTACATCATCTGGTTTGGGTCAGCTGAAATAAATCTCCTTAATTAAATATACATCTTTTTTGCATCTATTTTGATTAATGCCAGTTGCTGTTATATATTATACCAAATATGATGACATGGCTATCGCATATATTTTAAGAAAGGATTACCAAAAACCCACTATACCTTGTGCAAGCTGTAAGTCAAATGTGTACTCCACCTCCTGCACCTCTGTGTTTGGTGCAACGCCTTTCAGCTGATCCCTTAAATCTTTGAGCTTTATATAGTAATGTACTTTATCTTGTGCACGAGGAAACTGGGCACATCTTGCACTGGATGATGGCATAACATAGCAGAGCTTTATAAGAGACAAAGATCAGTAAAGGCTAGATTAGATACGCCATCAAGCATGCGAAAGCTGTTAAAGCATCAAGAACTTACTAATTAAATAGCTCTGTACAAACATTAAGTAATGCCTCAGAGATAGGAAAGTCCTCATTCCCTGTCCCTTTACTAGCTGAGGATCTTACCCCAGACAAGGCAGCAGGTCTTCAGCTGGGTGAGCTATGACAATTTATACCAGCTGCTCTAGAAACTAACATTTAACACTGATACAGAAAAATGAAATCACTAGCCTAGTAAGATGCTGTATTTATGAATTAACAAGCCAGCTACACATCATCTGGGGTTATTTATTTTCAAATCACATACATAATTTCAAAGTCATTGTGTCTATTGAAGAAGTATTTTAAGAATAGTTTGTGGATTAAATCCATGTATGTTTCCTCACACTAGTTGGTTAGGGTCCACTTATGTATTAGTTAGCTACTTACATTCCACCGCTGATGCAGTAAGACTAAGGAAGACCAAAGGAATTTGCCAGTTGAATTTGACAAGAGAAAAGCAGATGTAGGGTAACAGTACAAAGCAAAACAAAACAACCCCAGGAGGAAGAACCCACAATGGGTGAAAAACTGCACCACTAATATGGCTGCTAACTCCTCCTCTGCCAGAGAAAGGAACTTGTCTCCACATAGGACCCTGACCTTGAAGGCTTCCACATGGGTTTTAGCTTTGACTTGCTGGGAATGAGGCCTGCTGATCCCTGACAAAGGAAGCCACGCAGGAGATATCACTCAGGGAGTGTCTCTTGGAGGAGTCCACCAGGAAGCAAGCAAGCTGTAAAAGGAGACCACTTGCCTGATAACCACATGGAAATGGGAAGGTTTCATCAACAGGATGTATATAGAGCAGGGATGGGCAATTATTTTGGGTGGAGGGCCGCTTACAGAGTTTTAGCAATCTGCTGAGGGCCACATTTCTCTCTCTGGCGCAGGGAAGCAGGAACAGCCCCATGGTCCCAGGCCAGAAGTCTCTGCTAGGCAGGGGTTTCTGGTTGTGGGGG